CTTCACTGTGAAGATTGTACCTGTTATTTAAACTAAATACTTCACTGTGAAGATTGTAACTGTTATTTAAACTAAATACTTCACTGTGAAGATTGTAACTGTTATTTAAACTAACTACTTCACTGTGAAGAGTATACCTGTTATTTAAACTAAATACCTCACTGTGAAGATTGTACCTGTTATTTAAACTAAATACTTCACTGTGAAGATTGTACCCGTTATTTAAACTAAATACTTCACTGTGAAGATTGTTCCTGTTATTTAAACTAACTACTTCACTGTGAAGATTGTAACTGTTATATAAACTAACTACTTCACTGTGAAGATTGTACCTGTTATTTAAACTAAATACTTCACTGTGAAGATTGTACCTGTTATTTAAACTAAATACTTCACTGTGAAGATTGTAACTGTTATATAAACTAAATACTTCACTGTGAAGATTGTAACTGTTATTTAAACTAACTACTTCACTGTGAAGAGTATACCTGTTATTTAAACTAAATACTTCACTGTGAAGAGTATACCTGTTATTTAAACTAAATACTTCACTGTGAAGATTGTACCTGTTATTTAAACTAACTACTTCACTGTGAAGAGTATACCTGTTATTTAAACTAAATACTTCACTGTGAAGATTGTAACTGTTATTTAAAATAACTACTTCACTGTGAAGATTGTACCTGTTATTTAAACTAAGTACTTCACTGTGAAGAGTGTACCTGTTATTTGAACTAAATACTTCACTGTGAAGTTTGTACTTGTTATTTAAACTAAATACTTCGTTGTGAAGATTGTACCTGTTATTTAAACTAACTACTTCACTGTGAAGATTGTACCTGTTATTTAAACTAAGTACTTCACTGTGAAGAGTGTACCTGTTATTTGAACTAAATACCTCACTGTGAAGATTGTACCTGTTATTTAAACTAAATACTTCATTGTGAAGATTGTACCTGTTATTTAAACTAAATACTTCACTGTGAAGATTGTACCTGTTATTTAAACTAAATACCTCACTGTGAAGATTGTACCTGTTATTTAAACTAAATACTTCACTGTGAAGAGAATACCTGTTATTTAAACTAAATACCTCACTGTGAAGATTGTACCTGTTATTCAAACTAAATACTTCACTGTGAAGAGCATACCTGTTATTGAAACTAAATACTTCACTGTGAAGAGCATACCTGTTATTTAAACTAAATACTTCACTGTGAAGAGCATACCCTGTTATTTAAACTAAATACTTCACTGTGAAGAGCATACCTGTTATTTAAACTAAATACTTCACTGTGAAGAGCATACCTGTTATTGAAACTAAATACTTCACTGTGAAGATTATATAGTTTATTGAAAACGTTAGCTATCAAAATTCCTAACAATCTTGTGAATTTTAACAAGGTTTGTTTCTTTTTAATCGTGAAACTACACAATGGGCTACCTGCAGGATGTCTACTGCGAATATCGAATTCCGAATTTTACTGTTATAAGACCCTAAGTTTACTGTTGAGCCACCAGGGAGATAGACGTTAACCACGTGTTTACTTTAAGAGGTGAATACAGGGTGCTCCAACAATCCACAAAGCGCCACCATATAGTTCAGGTTAAATACATTTAACGTTATCTCACTTCCAATGAACGACAAAAAGTATATATAGTTTTTTATTTAACTAATAGATGGTGCAACAAGCGCCAGAGCCTTAACATATGACGTGAGTAAAAAATGTGTACAGTGTTTGTGAAGCTTGCTTGTTTGTGTATTTTCGGATATTCGTACTAACCTACTTAAGGGCTATGTAACAGTTTTAATATCGCAAGTTATTCAAGAAGGCTATGTAACAGTTTTAATATCGCAAGATATTCAAGAAAGCTATGTAACAGTTTTAATATAGCAAGATATTCAAGAAAGCTATGTAACCGCTTTTATATCACTAGATATTCAAACACTCGTATCATAAACATGTGTTCATATCGGAGGTTTAGAGTTTCAAATAAAAGGATATCTCTTGCACTTAATGGCATTGGAAAGCAAAGGAATGTGAATCAACTTGGTGTGCCAAGACTATCCAGAAAAAGACTTGGAACAAGTCGTACCTCGGCCATGGTAAGCAAATTGCGGCGGTTTGCAACAACGAAAAAAAAAAGGTAAAATCAGTAATACGAACTATCAAATTTCTCTATCTTCTGCAAGTCTAATACTGACCTGGAATTATTGATCAAAGAAACCCGCCACATCAAACAACACTCTCCAACACTGAACAACATGCAGTCTTCATTTAAATTATACATTTTTTAATATGTTCGTATTACTGATTTTACCTCTTTTTTTTTTCGTTGTGTTTTCTTGCTGTAGTTTCTCCCCATTATTACTGTTTAGTGTTGTATTTGTTTAATTTTCGTTATATATAGCAACTGTACTTTGAGAATGTATAAAGACTGATGTAAATTCATTAAATATATAAAATACATTACATACTATTATTACATGCGTAGTATTTTCATATTATTTTCGGTACAATGATTATCATGATTATAAAGAGCTTTTCGTGATATAAAACACTGAATTTATGAAGTACACTTATAAATTTCAATTCGTTTCGAGTAAACTGTAAATAAAATTTAAATAACAAGTCACTGACAAAAATTATATATAGCAATTTGAAATCATTAACATATAGGGATAAAAGTTTTAATTATGTTACACTTGAATGCTACTTCGTTTTGTAAATTGAGTAATTAGGATCAAGAAAAAATTAGATAATTAAAAACTGTTAGAAAATATTATTTCCGTGAACGTTAACTATCCTTTACCTTTATTTTTTTGTTGGTATCAAATATTCATAAAAAGGAAACGTCTGAAAATGTTACCCTGTTACCCGATTAGTAAGCAGTCAGTTTGAAACTTATAACGCCAGTTATAAGTTATTTTGAGTTAAATTAAAAAGGAGTGCATTATAATATATCAACCATACAATGTATGCTATATTTAGTGCCGACAAGGAGTTTCTTCTGCTTCCTCTGTGGCCCAGTCTCTTGACTTATAACACTACAAATCGGATTTCGATACCCGTGGTGAGCACAACATAAACAGACCATTTTCTAGCTTTGTGCTTAACAAAAACCAAATAAAGGCTTTTGACCAATACTAGGATTTTTCGAATCGGTTGGGATATGGCCAACACAGTAGTGTTTGTGACGTTATTTATATTATTAAACTGATTGAACAGCAACTGTTTCGGTGTAAAATGGATTAAGTTGATGAGGTATAATTTTGATCAATTTTATTTTAACGCTTACATCTGGGGATTAGATTCTCCGTGTAATTTTGCACTAAAAATAAACAATTATCCCAATATAAGCCATTTTTAACTGTGTCTAATTTATATTGATTTGGAATATTGTTGAACAATAAAAAAATAAGCTCAAATAAGTAACTGAAAATTGCTTCATTACAGGGGCGTCATTTTATACATGGCAGAGGTGGCGATTATCCCCCACCCTTTGCAGAATATGGTAAAAAAGAAGTACTGTTTTTTAAAACATCATTTTTTTATCGTTCTAACCCTGAAATGCAGTCGGTTACTGTGTGATGTTATTTCGCAAGCTCAGAGGCAGATTTGTATAATTTTTATTACCACATTGTGATAAACATTTGATTGTCAAAGTTTATGATGAGGAACCTACTTTGAGACAATAAACTTTGAAGACGGCTTGAGTGGATAACAAAGAAAACTTTATTAGAAGTTGAAAATACTAAGAAATATACATCGTTTTTGTTAACATCAGGTACATAGACACAGTACTGAACGAAGAGGCCACATGAC